GCACAAAGTAAATGAAGTTGCTGTGTGTAGGACTTCATTTGTATCTACTGAAGACATGGGAACATGGCAGAAGCATGAAGCAGGGAACTGCAGAACAAGAAAGGATGAGCTTAGAGCAACCCAATGCTGCTTCAATAAACTGCCCCTACCCCCGAGCTCTACTCTGGTACTAAGCCATGGGACAAGCATTTTCACTAGTGTGTTCCCAGAAGCACCTTTTTTAACTATATCGCTAGCTGCATCCAACAGCAATAGTTTTGTTATTAGTGTATGCGATGAGATGAAATTGCAAGTGCTCAGCAAAATCAGGTCCTTGCTTTCTCAGAATGGCCACCTCCCCTTAGCTGACCCCTCCGAGTGCCCCGGTGCTCTTCCATGTGCCTCAATGCCACATGTGTGCACCGGGAATGACAACGCCACTTCAGCTGGTAGGTGCTACGCAGCCATTAACATCTGCAGCTGAGGTACTAGAATGACACTGCAGAAAAGCCTGCAAGGAAATGGGTAGCACCGGAGCACTGGCTGAGTGAGCACCAGTTATCTCATCTCGCACACTGCACGCATTGGAGAGGCTGTGGGACATGCAACGCGTGATGATGTAGTTAGAACTTGATGACATAATGTAACACACAAAGGGAAACGAATTCATGTTGCATGGGTGACTAAATTTAGCATTTCTCTTCCCTGAGTACCTGACTTTGCATCCTTAACACGCTTCCATGTAATCTTTCTTCTTCTTCACTGAAGGTACACAAACAGCTGTAAAATATTGACCAGGTAGCTGCCACAAACTGTTACATGTTAGGAGCAAACTAACTCCCAAATGATTTGTGTTCATATCCTTTCCATGCATAAAACCGTATTTAGAGATGCAAATTTCCCTGCACATTAAAGGTAGCTGTTGCATGCGTGTCTATTTTGCATGTGCGAAAGAAAATTTTGCATACACAATGGGTACACCTCCTCTAAATGGCTTTTGATTGCAATGTAAGTACTGCTTTTAGAAAATTGCATCCCATTAAATAATGCAGAAGAAATCCAACAGTGTCTAGTGAGGAACTAAATTAGTGAAAGTGGGGATTCAGAAAATACTGTCCTATGTGCAATAGTAACACTTCATTATTGGTTTATACAGACAACAAACAAACTGGATAATTTATAGCTCAGATAAGCCTTGGTTAATATAACCACACAGGTTGTAAAGGGAAATGGGAGTATGCATTCCCCTGCCTAGATACCTCTCCCAAGGCAGAGCGGGAAGGCTCTGCCACGCTAACTCTTACTTTGCAAAGGGCAGATGAAGATTTGGCCCCCTTAACACCAATAAACTGGCTACCAGAGCAGACCCACAGCATGGGGAGGGTGCAATAGCTACACCTGGGGAAGGGCACTAAGCAATTGCTCCAACCCAACTGGTGCAAGAAAGCAGAGGCAAATTTTGAAAGCCTGCTGGGCAAGATACAACTATATTTCAAGGCTCAGGCCAGGTAGTCCTGCCTAACTGACAGCAGGGGCTGGCTTTTTTATAATGTTGAAAATTTTGAGAGAATAAATCATTTTATAGAAGGCAGCAAGAAACATTTGAGCTTAAAATTGTGAATAGTGCTGCTGGTATAAAGCTACTGTTTTTAGAGTACATTCAAATCATTTACGCATGGAAGATCTAAATAAAATAGCTAAGCAACTAGAAAATTACATAGAAAAAAATAAGAAGGTAATGTGCAGAGACTAAGTTATTGTAGCTTGGTGGAAACCGTTCTAAGTGTTACTTCCATCTTCAAGCTCCGTACAGGATTCCTGTTTGTTCCTGAACTTGTACTGACTGAGACTAGGATATAGGTCTTGGCCTTATTATCTGATAGTTTGTAATATCTACTACTTGATGACTTGATGAGAAATTACATTTTAAAAAGCTTGATATTAATTTAAAACCTACAAGCTTTTGCTCATTATTTCTGAGACAGCCTATTCAACTCCTAGTCAGCAGCTACAGCAAAGTATGCTGACCCCATTGATGAGGTAATCAATTATACTGGAACAAAACAAACTAGTAACCAGAAAGAGAGGAAGCCTATGGTTTTATACAGAGCCAGAGAAAACAGGGAGAAAGAGCATTTGGCAAATGACACAGGACAAAACATTTCATTTCAGGTTCCAAGAAGATATATTTTAAATTTGTATTAAATATGATTTACAAAATCAATGTTCTTCTATGCTGGACAGCTTTACTCGGAGTGAATGAAGACAAACCAGGGCACGCATCCAAAGCTGGGGCTCTACAGGCATGTGGCACTCTGGAACGGAGGTTTACACGCCAGCAACTGCAATTATCCCAACTAGCAATGATTTAGCATTCTGTGATGTCTAGAGTGCAAAAAATCCAGGCTGTACCTTTATATCACAACCATCTGAAATCCAGGTTTAAATTCTGCCTTTAAAGAGGCTGCGGCACAGCTTGCTGCTGTGTGCACGTTGGAGAATAAAAATGATTAATTCTGCCCATCAGTGAAGTTTTCGCTTATGAGTATCACAAGCCTTTGCTGTGTGCAGCAGAAAAAAAAATGAAAATCATTTTTATGCTTAGCTTCAAATCCTTATTCAAAACCATGTAACAGCGCTAATTACTAAACACCGGGATGACTGAATAAAATATCATAAAATGCTGACATAAAAAAAAAAAAAACCACGCCACAGAACAAACCACCTTAAACGTAAGCGCATTTACCACAATCTTTTTTTGTGCGTGATTTTACAATCCCAAGTTCAGAAAAGATTTTCGTGTTAAAATTAACTGAAGAAAGTAATTGGGAAAGAAGTAAATCAAAATGGAAATATATCATCTAATACGAGCTCCCATGATGAGCTGAACATCTGAAAAAAGAGCAGAATGATCAATTCCTCACCACAAGAGAGAGACGCAAAGACTGGCTTGGGGAAAAAAGATTTCCTTTTGGAATCACCACAGCGGGAGCCAGAGGAAGCTTTGCACCCAGAGACCTAATGTTGTCTGTTAAGCTAACAAAACTAGTCTGGAAGAAGAAAAAAAGTAAGACTTCATCTTTTCATCCCCTTCCACTTCACTGCTCATCTCCCTAGTGCTTATCTTGATCCCAGTTTTCTTTTTCTGAGGATTTTTTTCTCCCTCCCCCCTTCCTTTCTTTCTTTTTTTTTTTTTGATGCTGACGGGGGGAGCAGCATGGGTGCCTGATGCCAGCTGCGTCCTAACAGGGACCCTGCCTTTCTCATTTGCATTGTCACAGTCAGCCGCTACAGAATATGCCACAAAGGACCTGGAAAGGGCCGGCGATAGAGAGCACACTGCAAATTCAGCACAGCCCTCCACCAAGCCACGCAGAAGATGGGTACTGAGCACTGTGGCTGGTGTGGGCCAGCCCGAGTGCTTGCCAATGCGTCCAGTCATGCTGAGGGGGTTAAGACCTCAAATGAAGGGCAATGCCTTGTGCCACTGGAAAATTCAGAAAGAAAAGATGGAAAGAGCCTACCTAAGCCAGCTGCTCTCTGCCCAGTTTGCCACAAGGGTGTAATGCAAAACTTGGCGTGACTGAGAAGGAATCCCCAGAGGGGATTTCTGGACAATGTGCTCTAGGATGCCTCACCATGAGGCAACGACAGCGTGCACCATGAGACAACGACAACGTGGCTATAGGGATGCTGGTGACACACAATGGTCACTCTGTACCAAGCCAGAGACTAAACTAACTGTGTGAATACAATATGCACAATGTACACATATCATTCTTGTATTTATACATGGAAAAATTCTAATGCAACGTATTATTTGTCTGAGGTTTTATGCCATATTCTTCTTTCAGTTATGCTACAGGAGACCTGCCCTGCATAACTCAGACTATAATTTGAACAGTAACTTTTATGCGAACACCACAAAAGCAAGTCAGCAATGGCTTATCATACTAGGAGAGTAAGGACAACCACAGGCTGGCTGTATGCTGTAGGGGTGCAGCGAGCGACCACACATCTCAGTCTGCACACTGTCCCCCTTAGAGTTCAAAACACTCTGGGGGCAGGAGTCCATCCAGAGGGAAGGTGTTACAAAGATCATAGACCTGAATAAAGTGCAACTAAAATATAGACTATCAGGTACAGCTCTACATTAGGCTGAAAATAACTGCATTTTCTAGTGTTCTTGTTATCTTAAAAAAGCATCTTGAATAATTACCCACACAATTCAAAGGAATAAAATCAGATATTCTTGGCCAAGTTAGCTTGGTGTATCATTGAGTAATTTGCCTCACTTTATCTACTAATGGCATGTCTAGAAATAAGAAAAATCTGAATTTTAACCTTGAAATATGAACTCTACAAACCCATATTTCAGTGTGTGCATTGTAAGCCCACACCAGGGAATACTTTCAAAAATAAAAATAAACTTCCAAACTTTGAATGCATTTTAAGGGTCAAAAAGCAATGGGAACAAATGCATTATTTAATCATAAAAACCACACTCAATTCAGCACAAGGCTGAGGAGGGAGCTCAGGCTCCCAGAGGCAAGTGAAGTGAGGACTGCTCTGAGGGAGCGCTGCAAACGGGGCTGGAGCTGAGCTTTCCCTCAGCTCTGCCTGGGAGAGGTGGGGAGGTCGAAGAGCTGGAGAAGACAGGCAGCTCTTAATAAGAACGAGCTGCCATTTTCTCAGGAACAGTGAAGCAGAGAGGAAAAATGGTAGGCAACTTCTTGCTTACAAAAACAAAGCCATTATTCAAAACTGAGAAGACCGACCTTTAAAAGCATTGGCTACTTACACATTGCTTCAACTCCATGATAAAATTCTTATCCTTTTTAATGGCGTGTTGTTAGCAGCTACATCTTTATTACAGTCTCTGTGTTTCTGCTTCATCCTCATTAAGAGTAAGGTCCATTTCTTACCTGACCGACACAGGCTCTGCTCTCATTACCTTGACTCAAAGCTAACAGTAACTTTTAAAAAATGCTCACAATAATCATCAGCTATACTATGCTTACCCTGAGGTAGTTGAGGGTGAAGTTTGTCAGACCCATTCGAGTGATGTTTTTGGACAGCTGCTCCAGCACCTGAGGGTCTTGTGCCTAAACAACAGAAGAAAAAAGAATTTTCACTTTGCTTTTTGTCTATTTATTTTTCTCTGTGTGCTTGGTGTAGTGCAGGGGGGGTTCTCTGAAGAGAGATGCCATTCCTATGGAAAAAATACACATTGATGCTAAATTTATGTCATGAGCTACGGAGTTCTGTTTTCACAGGAAAATGCAAAACTTCATGAAATTGGAGCAGAATAAAGATTGCTTTCCAATATCTTCTTTCTGTCCTTACCATTCAAGAGACAGACCTAGGAGGCCCGGCCATGCACGGGGTGCAAGCAGGCAGGGCCCCACCAAAGAGCTTCCTGAGGGATCACAGCATACTTTGAGCCTTCCATTTGTTGGCTGGGAGCCCCAGGAGACTAAGCAGGTAAAGGCAGGAACAAAGAAAGTATTGCTTTCTTTTTGTGGATAAGAAACTGAAGCAAGAGAACTTATCAAGGCACCTTCAGAAGAGCTGATCACATAAGTGGCATTAAGCATAGGCTGCAGAACCCTTCTGGTCTGTTATTTTCCCAGAATTAAACAGGAAAAATGCAAGCACAGTCCTCCTCTGACCCTAGCCAGAGCTTTACCTGTGAGGCCAGCCTCCTCTTTAAAATGAGATCAATCTCATTACTAAAATTAATACCTGCTGGTTGCTGCCTAACCTGGTCTACTCTCTTTGAATTGCAGCCCCCTAAACACATGTTGTCGCTCATGGCCATCCTCGTTGTCCCTTAATGGGATACTGTTGAAGATTTCAGAAGATCAGATCTCTGAAATAACTCTGAGACAGAAATGGTAGGGCAGATTTTCAAAGGTAATTTCTTCAGGCCTCTAGCAGCATTTTCAAAAAAAGTCCAAGCTGTTTAAGTTATTTAAAATCCCTCACTAAGAATATATCTTTATATATGGATATGTAAGTTGATATCAAAATACAGGCACATATTTGGGCCTATGTTCTTACCCTCTATAAAACCATAGTCCTGTAATTAATTTTTTTGATATGGACCACTACAAATCTGAACGATTCTACAGTGCAGAACTGAAAGTGGCAATAAGACTCTGTCCTTTATTTCTCCCCAACGATTTACTCTATAGTAGTTTGACTTCAAACTGTAGAATATTTAATATTCTAATATTCCATTGTGTGCATTTTCATGCAGTTACCAAAAAAAAAAAAAGTCTTGAAAGGTGAAAAAAGAAGAACTGGATTAAAATTCTAACGGTTTCTAAGTAAATATATGGTAATTACTTATTTTCTGTCTCATACAAAGGTAACAGTTTGCTTAATTTAAGGGCTAAATATAATTCGTACCTACAATGATGAAAATTCACTGAATTTAGTGTAGTTGATATCAGTAAGAACAGATTATGGGCCCAAATCATACAGACCACCAAATGGGATTAAAAGGAAAACTATGTGCTAAAACAAAATGAAAACATAGCAACAGTGGCAACAATAGAGCACTGAGAAACAAGGGGGTGATGAAAGAACTTGTAAATGGATGCACTTGCAGGCAAACCAAAATATTTATAGTTAATTGCCTTGGGTGTGAAATTTGCTGGAGTTCTTCATAAACCTAATCTCGTCTTTTTGCATTAGGTCAAGTGAAAAAAGGATTACTTACATGCATGGCTAGAATGCTGCGTGGGACTAATTCTCTGTACTGTCTAATAGTAAAGTGCCATGTTTTTATTCTCATAAGATCATCAAAAGTAAACTCCAAGATAAGACGTCCTTCTGTGCATACCTAGAATACATAAAACACATGAAATAAATTCCCAGGAATTTTGTTTTCAATGGTATTGTATCATCGATTAAACAACATTCAAAAATATGAGAGCAGTATTCTATTGTTCATCTCTGCTAGATTAATTGTTTTTCTTTCTCTTGGGAAGAAAAAACGAATGTGGGAAAATGACTTCATAGGCCGTACCATGGAGACAGTAACTTATAATACTATAGATTTTATAGCATTTCACAAACATAGAATATTGTGTGTGCTAAATCTTATT